CCGCCCCCCGTCGTCGAATCTCCATAATCCTCGTCCCACTTGCCGACGTCACTTTTTTTCCCCTTCTTCCTCTCTTCTCTTCTCCCTTCCCCATCGACCCCAATATTTCGACGACTCACCACCTCGACCCCCTCTTCCTCCCCCGCGCTGCATCGCGCCTGCGCCTACGCGCCCGTCTTAACTCTCGGCCATCCGCGCCCACGCCGCCACCATCCCATTCCGATTGTCGATTCCCACTCCTCCTTCTCGGCCGCCTCTCTGGCGCCCGTCGCGCAGGAAGAGAAGAAGAAAAAAAAAGGAAGGAGGAAGAGGAAAGAGGGAAAGGGGAAGAATCGAGTTGCCAGGATTCCTCCCGCTCACGCCCCGCCCCCCTCTTGAGTTACGCTTCACACGACCTCGCCCGCCCGCGCTCTTCTCCACTCAATCTCTTCCCTCCTGATCGGTTGCACGCCGTCCTTCAACACCGTCGACATATCCCGCTGCTGATCGTTCACCATGGCATCGACTGCCGCCGGCCTCTCGGCCCGGCCTCGCAGTCCCCCGCCGTCGTCGTCGGCGAATCCCCCAGGCGCTGGCCCCGCCTCGCCTCCTTCCAAGCGCGATCTCAAGTCATGGTGGAAGAACTTCATACTCCCTAGGACCCAGGAGCCCAGTCCCATCACCAGTATGTCGACTCCCTTCTAGGTCATCAGTCTGGCCCCCCTCCCTCCTCGGCGCCCGCAGCTGGCTGACATCCCCCAAGCAGAGTCCAAGGCTCCTCAGGGCATCTTTGGCGTGCCCTTGCGCCACAGCATCACTTATGCCAACGTCGCCATCTCCATGTACGACGACGATGGCCAGAGCTACGTCTACGGCTACGTGCCCATTGTCGTAGCCAAGTGCGGCGTCTTCCTCAAGGAGAAAGGTACGTCCATCTCCTCCTTCTCCCCCCCCTCCAGCCTGCATGCAGCTGGCTCGTTGAAAACCCGTGCCTGACTGATAGATACCGCAGCCACCGGCGTCGAGGGCATCTTCCGCCTCAGCGGCTCCGAGAAGCGCATCAAGGAGCTCAAGCAGCTCTTTGACTCGCCCGACCGCTACGGAAAGGGCCTCGACTGGGAGGGCTACACCGTCCACGATGCCGCCAACGTCCTTCGCCGATATCTGAACGACTTGCCCGAACCTGTCGTGCCCCTCGAGCTCTACGACAAGTTTCGCGAACCCCTCCGCGGCTCCACCATCCCCCCGGTCGCCGACACCGACCGCCCATATTTCGTCGACGGCTTCGACGAGAACGTCGCCATCTCAAAGTACCAGAAGCTCATCACCGAGCTTCCACCCCTCAACCGCCAGCTGCTCCTCTACATCCTCGACCTGCTCGCCGTCTTCGCTGCCAAGTCCGAGGAGAACCGCATGACATCTCAGAACCTCGCCGCCATCTTCCAGCCCGGCATGCTGTCCCACCCCACCCACGCCATGTCCCCCGACGAGTACCGCCTGAACCAGTGCGTCGTCATCTTCCTCATCGAGAACCAGGATCACTTCATCCTCGGCATGCAGGGCACCGCCGCCGACGAGGAGACCAGGAGGGAGGTCGAGTTGGGTCACCCCACCACTACCACCGTCACCGCCGCAGCCCCCGCCGCCGCCGCCGCCCCCGCCTCGACCCCCGCCACGCCCACGTCCAACCGCAGGTCTGGCGGGGGCATTTACCGGTCCTCGTCCAGTGCCAGCGCTGGCGCCCAGAGCGTCCGCCGCGACGGCCAGATTCGCAGGAACCGATCCGTCAACTCGAGGCACTCCAAGAGGGACGACAACACCGGATCCACCAGCAGCCCCGTCCTAGGTGCCACCCAGACAGTAGTGGTGGGCGGCAGCCTGGGCAGGAGCAACACGGTGCCGTCAAAGAAGTCGCCCAGTGTTGGGTCCAAGTACGCCAAGCGCCGCGGCGACACTTCGGCCGCGCACTCGCCCTCTCGCCTCTCGCCTCTTCCGCCGGCACAGCTGACCGAAACGTCGGACCCGTCTGACTACTCGAGCCTAGCCCCCCCTGTTGTAGCCGTCACCGCCGGTGCGGCTGCTACTGCTGCGACGTCGTCCGGTCTGAGCCGCAGCCATGAGAAGCTTCTCGGCACCTCCCAGGACAGCCCGACGCCGCAAAAGGAGCGTGGTCTGCCGAGCATTTTCCAGCGCTCGCCGACGGACGAAAACACCCGGAGGCAGCCTAACAAGCTTAAGAAGAAGAGGATCCCCGGTAGCGAACACCCCAGTGCTCAGAGCTCCAACACGTCCCTCCCGCAGGCTGGGACGGCGCTGTCCCTTAGCGTCGAGCTGCCAAACCCCATGGAAAGCGCAGAGCACGACGAGGCGGACAAGTCGGAACAGCGGCAGTCACCTTCGGCCCCCAACGGCGAAGTGACGTCGGACTCGACGCCGAGAGCCTCCCAGATCCAGCCCGTAACACGGAGCAACACCAGCCTTCGACCGGACGATACGCCCCGCGCGCAAGGGTCGCCACCGGCATCGTTGCACTCGTCCTTCAACGGCGGCTCCGACGTGGAGCAGAGCCAGAGTGGCGATGCACAGACGGGAAGCAGCTTTACCGACGTGCAGGACAGGGAGAAGAAGAGCCGATGGAGGCTGTCGCGGCCCCGCAAGGAGGAGGGATGGAGCCCACGGGAAGCGTCTTCCGATCGCACGATGATCCGGTCCAACGACACCATCGACACATCTCAGACATCGTTTGGCAGCGCATCAAACCAGCAGAAGCCGTCGCGCAAGAGCTTCACCGGCGGCGCCGCAGCCTCCGCCGACGCGGCAGCGGCGATAGCGGCAGCCGAGTCCCAGGCCGAGGACTCCGGCCGCGACGAGCCCAAGGGCCCCATCGGCTGGATACGCAACAAGTACCGCGAGGCCAAGGAGAATGCCGAGATCCGCCGCAATAAGTCGCCCACGGGCGAGAACCAGCACCGGCACTACGGAAACCTCACCGCCGGCGGCAAGGGCACGGACCCGAAGCATGACGGCTCGACCGCAGACGAGTCCAACGACTCGGCGTACCTGTGGGCCGCAGCCGAGAAGCTGCCACGACAGCCCCAGCCTCAGCCCCAGCCTCAGCCTCGGGCCCAAGCCCAGCCGATTTGTTCCGCTGCCGCCTCCGCCGTCGAGCAGGATACTAGCCAGTCTAAGCAGACTCCCAAGAACGAGCCGGTAGAAGAACCGCAGCAGCAGCCCCAATCGCAGCCTGAATCGACTAAGGAGGAGCCGGCAGAGGGGGAGCTGGCAGATGAGCAGGCGGCAGAGGTGGTAGAGTCTCCTGATGTTTCGGACCAGGACAAGACATCAGTGCCAGTGCCGGCGACGGCGACGGCAGCACCAACACCGGCAGAGACTGCAGAGACTGTAGTGGCCGCCGAGACTAAGCCAGAGACGGCAGAGACGGCAGAGACGGCGGTCATCGCAGACACAGAGCTAAAGACGAGTGCAGACAAGGCTGTCGAGACTGAAGAGACACCACTTCCAGTGTCGACAGAAGAGCAGGAGCAGGAGAAGGAGCACGAGAAGCGGGAGCCACCCGCGCAGCCTGGGTCCGCTACTGAACAGGTGGTAACCACCGAGTCTGCGCCTACCGTCGAAGCACCTGGGAAGTCATCGTCTTGATCCTTCATTTTTTACCTCTTTTTTTTATACATTTGTTTTTTCTTCTGATCTTTTATGTCCCTGATGTCCTCCCCCCCATTTTCTTTCTTTCTCTTTTTTTTTTTCCTTTCATGTCTCATGATGAGAAATGTAGCTATTCCCAAACGCCCCCCACCCTTTTCCCCCCCTCTTACCCCCGTTCTTATGTCCTACGTCTTTTGATGATATGTCAAGTCCCCCCCCCCATTGATGCAATTGCACATCCTTTTTTACTTGTTTTTTTTCCAGCAAACTATCCCCTTTATTCTTGTTATTTAGCGGCAATGACCACCCGGTTTTCCTTTGTTCTTCGGGGGGAAAAAGAAAAATATTCCTTTTTTTTTTGTTAGGAGTTTTTTTTCTTCTTTTCCTTCTATCAATCGTCATGTATCCTCTTGTAAATGTAATATCTTCTACCAAAGGAGAGGAAGAAAAGAACAATCCTCTTGTAACTGTAATATTTTCTACCCAGGGAAAGAAGAGACCAAAAAAAAAGGTGAATGGAATAGGTATATATATTATGAGTACTCTACATCGTGCGTTATACATCACTTATGATATACTTCTGTATTCGTCACCTTGAGCTTTGGTTTCGTGGAATCAGGGTACACGCCCGTATCCCAGACTATCATCTTGCCTGCCCTGCGCCAATCCTCGTTGAAGAGGCCGTTGAACCCGGACCAGACCGGGCGCAGCGTCATCCCAGTGGCCATACCCTCGGGCGTGTTGGCAATGAAGTCGTCTAGCCATGGCTTGATGCCCTCGAAGCCGACAATGTAGCGGGGTAGTTGGAGGGCGTGGGGGTGGCCCGGGGCGAAGAGCTCCCCCGACAGGAAGGCGACGGGGTCGTCGTAGAAGCGGTCGGCCTCGTCGCGGTAGCTGTCTCGCTCCGCCGTGCCGGGGAGGGTGTGCAGCGGTGGCTCGCAGGAGAGCGCGTAGGCGTCGAGCGAGGAGTGCACGAGATGGGAGCGCCACGGCGTGGAGTGGCAGGGCATCAGGAAGAGGGCGAAGAGGCCTGGCTCCCGGCCGGGGTCCGTCGGGGGGTGGAGGTCGGTGTACTTGTCGCGGAGGTGCTGGATCACCGAGAGGGGCGCCGGCTGGTGGAACGACGAGAGGTAACCCGCCAGGAGGATGTTGACGCCGAGCGCCAGGTAGAGGCACCGTCGGTGTCGGAGGCGGGGCACCTGGTCGGCCGGTGCGGAGGAGGTGGCGCGCGTGAAGAAGGAGGCGGCAAAGGGCGCGGCGAGGATGTTGAGGATGGGGAGGAGCGGGTAGATGAAGCGCACCTCCTTGTGGGAGATGAGGGAGAGGGCGAGGACGGTGACGCCGGCGGCGCACAACATGGCGCGCAGCATGTTGCGCGAGGATGGAGAGGGCACGGTCGGGGATGGAGCGGCGACGCCCTGCCTGTACACGGCTACGAGGACGAAGGGTAGGCTCGTGGTGCATAGGAGAGGAAGACCTTGGAGGAGATAATAGTGCCAGGGGTTGCGGCCGTAGAAGACGGCAAGTGACTTGGAGATGTTGAAATAGAGCCAATTATAGGGCGGAAAGGTCCAGAAGCCAAAGTAGAGGCGGTCCGAGACAAGCGAGGCCCCGAGGACGAAAGATGCAGAGAGGATGGCCTCCCGGAAGAGGACGACGACTATGCTGGGTGTCAGCGGAGACGGCCCCTGAAGACCGAACCTTGTCAGGGCCAGGCCAAAGATGGTGGCCCAGATGAGCACGTTGGTAGGACGCAGGACAACGGCCAGCGCTGCGAGGGACAGCGAGGCGCGCAGGGGCCAGGGATTGCGCAGGATGGAACCGACGGGTTTGGGGTTCTCCTTTGTGGCCGGCTGGGCGGTTCCGAGAAGCTCCTCCCAGGGAAGGTGATAGAGGGCCATGACGGTGAGGACCATTTCCAGTGAGTTGGAAAAGGTACGGATGGAGCAGTACCATTGCCAGGCACTGAAGAGCTGCAAGAAGAGCTGTCGCGAGCGTCAGAGAGAGGGGAACGGTGTACTCCTACGCCCATACACGAAACGGTGGGGCGACGAGAGGTTCGGACATACAGCAAAGGACGAGACATTGCTGTCGGGATAGATGCGGACGGCGAGCTGCCATGTGTACCAGTCACCGAGGGCAGCAAAGGCAGCCTGGAGGGCGCGGGGAGCAGCGACGACGAAGCTAGCTTGCAGGACGGCGCCTACGGGAGCTATCCTGGAGACATGGTCGGCCAATCTGTAGGCAGCCGCAAAGATGGCCGGATGGATGGACGACCTCAGCTGATAGTGCCATTCCTGGTAAGTGTGTGTGTCAGCCCGACGTGTACGGTTGATTGGCATCAGGGGTCAAGGAGAGAGGCAGGGAGAGGGGTACCCAAGTCAGCCATGCGCCGCTGCCGGGCCCAAAGGCGAGATCCCAGGCGGGCTCGAGGGCCTGAAAGAACTCATCTGGCTGGAAAAAGGTGGTGACCCAGAAGGCGTTGATGAGGCGGATGATGAAGATGCTGCGGAGGAAGCTGAGGCGTTTCTGGGACGGAGGCGACGCCGGCATGGGGGGCAAGGGGAAGAGAGGGAACGAGAACGGCGAGAGCAGATACACAGAAAAAAAGACGGGGGGGGGGGGGG